ATCTGAATTATAAATGTTTATACTTTGATTCAAATTAATAAAATTTTGTTTTTACAGTAGATATACTTTCTTTTTAAAATCAAACTTTGTTTATTAATAAAACAAATGGATATATTAAAGCAATTTATGTACAAATTTATTTTGCAAAATACACATGAAAACATTTCAGAAATAATTCCAAATTCAAATAACCCTGATATTTGTATAATATGTAATTCTGAAATTAGTCTAACACTTCACAAACCAATCACAATCTTATCCTGTTACCATTTTTTTCACACCAAATGTATCAATATTTGGGCTTCTGAATCAAATGTTCCTTGTCCTTTTTGCAAAAATAACAATTTAGAAAACTCATCAAACTCATCTGCAATAATTACTAGTAATTTTACTGCATCTGTTACCAATATTAGTAATTCTGCTGCACCTGTTACCAATACTAGTAATTTTGCTATACCTATTATCAATACTAGTAATCCTATTACTTATACTACCTCTATTAATCCTGCTACTAATATCAGCACCACCTCTAGTAATCCTGCTACTCATATTGCCTCCAATTCTAGTAATTCTGCTAGTAATTCCTCTATACCTAATTTTAATAATCCTACTAAATCTACCACTTATAGTAGTCCTGTTACATCTACATCTAGTAGTCCTGTTACATCTACATCTAATAGTCCTGTTACATCTATATCTAGTAATTCTGCATCTGTTAATGCTGCTACTATAAAACAAGAAATCAATTTTCAAGGAATTCTCACTGAATTAATTACTCCTAATAATGAAAATGAAATGTCCATAAATAGTAGCAGTGAAGAAGAAAGTAATGAAGATAAAATATTAAGTTTATCTATGCTTTACAATAAAGCAGAATGTTCAGAAATGCGAGCAACTTTGGCAAATCAGGCTGAAATATGGTCCTGGTATCGATATGTTAAAGGATTTGATAGGCGAGTTAATGAAATATTAGAAAACAGTAGGATATCTATAAATAAAGCTAAATCTACAGCGTACAATGAAATTTTGGCAAAGAATTCTCATCTTACTAAGGATAGTTTGAAAAAGAAAACACAAAAAGCTAGAATTATATATAGTTTGTTCAAAGTTATTGGTTTAGATAAAATTAAACGAATTAGATCATATAGTTTTAATACAGTCTCAAGCCTTAATGAAACTTAAATTAATCTAATTATTCAAAGGGTACAATTAGAAGAACAATAAAAGTATGTATATATATTATGCGTTATTTTTAAATTCTGTTAATAATTAATTAATATTTCATTTTTACTGTTTAAAAAATGACTTGAGTCATACTATACTATAACAGATAGATAATTGAATATTTATTGTTTACATATTATTCTATTTTTTTTATTTGTATATATTGATATATATTAGTTATATTAGTAAAAATAAGATATACATATAATTTCAATTCAATTTTGGTAACAGTAGTAATATAAGAAAGGTACACTATTTCACTATTCTGTAAACCATACTCTATGTATTGTAATATAATCAATTTTATTAGTAGATATTTTATTAGTTAAATTTATATTATTATACTTTATTAGTAAATTT